GTCGTAACGGATTTTGGCCTTCGAGAGTTATGTGAGGAGCATCGAGAGTATCGTCGATATATACTTCTTTGATGACAATACCTGTAATTTACAATAACTACCTAATGTTCATTAGTAAAGTTTTTCACCTGTGTCTCTGTAACCTATTGTGAAGTCGTTCGCCAAATATACGCCAAAATTACGTTAACTTGGTTAAAACTAGTCTTTTGTCGTTCTCTGCATAAAACGGCAAAACCGGTGCATTTCACTTCAAACACAACAAAAATAACGGAAGTGACGGGGGACTCAAACATGCCTCGGAGACCTCCCAACAAGTATCTCTCTTTGATTTATTTGCCCGGTGAAAATGAAAGGCACAGCGTGCTCTATGGGGAAGGAGATTAAAAGTACCAAGCCCGAACAGGGGACAACCATTCACTACAAATGATTATGAATATCCGATCCGATATTTACAACCACCCATCAATAAAATCAGAAAATGAGTGTTACATATCCAATGGCCTCGATGGCGCTTGATATGACATATCAATACTCGGATTTAACATCGATGACCATCGAGGTACTTTCGTACGGGGTGTAAAGGGAGACCCTTTATTTCTTAATTTTTTGATTAGGGTTGAAGTTTTTCTTGCCAAATGTAATGACGTATTAATTACTTAATCCTTTTTGATGTAAAAGCAAACAGACAAGTAGAACTATAATTATAATAAACAGAGGAAAAAGTGTAATGTAAAGTAGAACTGAATCCTTTCTGGGATTTTACAAAAAATTAACTAAACCTGTATTATAAGTATTTATCGAAATTACATAATTTATGTATCCTGGTGTCCACGTTGAATGTTGACAAAAAAGGTATTACTAGTGGGTACGTCAACACTTGATGCGGATGAGGAAAAAACCTTCCTCTACGGTGAACTGAAAAGTTCTGTGGCTGTCCTTTAGTAGCGGTTTATTATACTCTGGGCAACCATTTCCACTCGTCGTACGGTGGTGTCGGTTCGGGACATTAGTCTAACCTAGTCTTGTTATTAAGATTTTGTGAAAAGTAACTTCTCTCACAACGACTTCTACGGTTCGTCTGGCCGGGGTGTACCTTCTTCTGTGTTAGGCCTGGTCTACTCTACTTACTACTACTACATCTACTACTTACTACTACTACTACTATACTACTACCAATAGTATCTGGGTTTGATGTTACGGTAGGAGACACTCAGAGACAGGACTTTACTTTCTGTGCAGACCGTCGTTGAAGTCTTGTTAATACCAAGAGTAGATCTTTCCTACACATTTGTTATGCCAGTTTCCTTTGTTGTATTTATTGAGTCTTTGTACTTTCGTTTTAGTTAGGTTCTTCTTGCAGAGTTCCTTCACCGGATGCTCCGTTCCACCGTTCTTATCGAACGTCTTCCGAGTTACCGGGAATGGCGTTAAACCTCAAGACGTGCTTCAGTGTGATCTTCTGACAGGTAGGTAATTGTCTTCTCGTCTCGGTCCTTCTAAAGTTTCAACCAGTTACTGTTGACCCTTGTTTAATGTAGTGGGAAACAAGGTTCCAACGGGTACTCGTTTTCTTACTTTCACCACTCCCTAGGCCACGTCAAGTATTCAAAGGATGGTTGACTTTGAAAGTCCCACCTTGTTTAAAATTTCACCCCACGTTTCGGACAAAAGGAAGAACATAGGGACTTCTGGTACATGTGACCGACTTGTTTTTCTGTGGTAGTACTGGTACTGCTTTGTCACGCTGGGCGGTTGATGTAGAGCTGGCATTGTCACCGTTTTTACGGTTTGACCTTGGACGACAGTGTCTTAAGAAAATTCCTGACAACTTCCTAGACGGGTGGACAACTAAACGGTATGACGTCTTCGTTCGCCTGATGTTTCTGTCTCTTCAAGAAGTGGGTCCGTGTCGTAGAGGGTTGATGGAGTCCCTTATAGTGTCCCGACGTTACGACTTCAACTGGCGAGCGGTAAGTTCTCTCCTCAAAGTCCTGGAAGTCAGCTACTTTGTTACAGTACGGCAACTCACAGTAGTCGAAAAACTCGTTAAAACGGTGTATTAATCTGGTGGTGTGTGTGTCGTGTGTGTGTGGTGTGTGTGTGTGTGTGTGTTGTGTGGTCGTGTGGTCTCTCTCATTCACCAATGGTAATGTTGAGATGGATTTAGGAACTCCTTCTCGATTCTATTGGCTCTATCGGTTCCAAAGTGGTGTCAATCATCAAAATCAACCGATGGGTTCCAGAGAAGTGGCAAATACACCCAAATGACCCCACAGGTGTTTTTTTTTCTATATTGATTCTGACTTTTCTACATCCAACTCACAGGTTTATCATTGCTTTGAGAAAAAAGATTATTAATTTACCCCTTTTAGAAGTGAAGATATAGTGATTTGTTCTGGGAATATCATTTTAGAGCCAGAGACCTGAAAAACAGGCTTGGGGCTTAACAGGTTAATAGAAGGTCTACGGGGCTGTTACGGCCCACCCTCTACTCCGCGGTAGTGGCTCGTGGGGAGACCCATAACATAAAATAATACGCGCAAAAACCGGTACTTGGGTAACGAGCATTTATTGATGTCCAGCCGTTTTACACACACAAGCAAACCGGAAAACTAAGAGGTCTGGAGGACTGGCCAAAAGGAACAAACAGAAGGAGGGAAACCGAGCCAGCCACACCACGGGCCGTAGGACTCAGAGCTTCCATCCCCTAACCAGAAATCAAATACATACCCAATGGGAAACAAAATAAAGCCACGAAAACTGGACTACCAGGTATTTATTAGCAGATAAATGGTCTACAGCTCAACAATGGCAGAGAGATATTTAAAGGAGAGTGTTTCCTGTTTGATGTAGAGCAGGTACTATACTTGGAGCTTTGTTCTCTGAAAACAGTACCTGCTGCGGCTGGAAATGAGAGTGTAGAGACTGAACCAGAATAGTCAGGATGTGGGCCATAAAACCAAAACAATGAGCTGAGAGACATTACAACGCTTCATAGAGCTGAGGGGAACTGCAAAGTAGGGTGATAATTCTCTGTGAGTGCATCAGAATGAGCACATCTTTCACATAACACATGTCTCTTGATCCATTGTTAATAGAAAGATATGGATTGGGGAAGCTTTAAAGACAAACCAAATTGAATCTCCTACTTTAGACAAA